AACTAACCAACCAAACAGGAAAATGGTTACTTGTCACCTGGCTCAGCCCCTAGACTGAATTTCCTGCACAGCTGCACAAGCCCTCACCCAGGACGGCTGCAGGGCAGGACCACGGGGCTGGGAGCAGCTGCAACAGCAGGAAGGGTAGGAGAGACAGAGGGCTGTTTTAGCAGCAGACCACAGTTAAAACAGCCTTAAAGCAATCATGAGAACAAAGCCTTTTATATCAGAGGAGAGGACACATTTTTCCATTAAGCCGAGACTGAGTACCAGCTCTCAGCTCAGTATGACTCTCTCTTCTTTTCCGTGGGAGATATAAGGCTCTATTTTAAATGCAGAGCACAGGATGATTTCTGTGCAGGGCAACTTAGAAAGAAGTCCAGTGCTGACTTATGATTATCTATATGACTTTCTCTGCCAAGGTAATAAGAACTATCCCTAATCTTTTCTGCAGCAGAGTAAATATTAGATGTAATATAACAGAGCTGGTGACGTTTCTAGAAGAAAGGCTCGAGTGTCATATCATGCAGGATTGTACGTACAAATGGCACGCTTTGAAAAACCCACAGATTTGCAAGGTTTGAAAACAGCATGTAGCACTAGTGACATCTGCAGGAGCACATCAGTTGGAACAGGGAGAGGAAAATGCCAAAAATCAGGCTTCTGTGAGAATCTCTCATAAGGTAAACCAGCAGATGTGTTCACAGCACCTGCCTTCACAAGCCTACCAGGGGACGAACAGGCCTTCTCAACTGCTGTCACAAGGGGTTAAGTCAGACCCTTCCTCTAAATCACACTCTGGAGAAGCCTCCCATTTTTTTGGCCATACGAGTGGTGGGGGAAAGCAGCCCTCCTGTTTTACAAGGCACCTACCCAGCAGTGTAACCGTCCTCCTTCCTAGAAGTGAGAAATAAAAGCGCAGGCTTCAGGGGGAGGTTGTGTTGCTTCCCCAGTCAGACCTAGGTAGGGTGACCAAGAGATACCATTGTGAAGGGGACAACACAAATCATTTTGCCTTGTCCTCCACAAAATGGGGCAAAGGGGACGGCTGGTTTAAAATGTTTCCACAGCTCAAGAGCACATCAGTGAAGAGTCACTATTGGTTGTACTGAGTCTTATTGCAACCAACAAGTCTAACTAATGCTCTTCTTTAAAGATATAGTGATAAGGGAGACTTCCTATCAAAAAAAAATACCCCATACTCAAGATAAAAACTTTGGGCAGAGTTTTTCAGCAGGTAGAGAAAATGAGTAAATGAGTATGCACACAAGTGAAGGTCAAAGCGCTGTGCAAACACTTAGAGGCAAGAAAGTTTGATCCAGCCTAAAGGATAGTAGCCAGGTGCTGAAAAAAGAGCTAGAGGGGAAAGGTCTTAGGAGGGCAATACCTAGATTTGGTGACGCAAGGGAGGAGACAGTCTGCTTTTTTTGTTTTCCCTCTGTTCAAGAAAGTGATCCCTTCTGCACAGTAAAAAAATGAACTTCATCTTCTCTCATTATATAATGCTGTTCCAGTTTTGCCATACACAAATCCAGCCACCCTGCTTTATAACCCTTTATACTATTTACACTAGGAAAGCTATTTCTAACTCACATCATTAACACAGCTGTCGAAACATTATTTTTAAACTAGAAGCACACAGGTAGAAAACCAGAACAAAGATAAATTGAATTTTCTGGTCTGGATACACCTGTTGTATTTCTTTGCTTAAAATTGATTAATTTCTGATCTCGGGGGATTTTTTTTAATTATAAATTTTGTCTTAAACAAAAATTTAGTATTTTACATCATGTTTAATCCAAATTCTCAAAACCCTTATAAAGCAGTGTGCCCGAACCTCCACACATCAAAGAGAATCAGCTATGATTCCTTATATTTGGTAGGAATAGAGATAATTAAGTTTTGGCCTTTGTGAGACAAGGCAACACTGTTATCTTAGTGATTATACACAAGAATCCTGTGTTCCACCCCAAAATTACAGCATCCTAACAGCAGGTAGACTATGAATGGTAAAGTCTGTATAAGGTAAGAGGAGGTATTTAGGGTTGTGTTAGACTGCTAACATGTTAACAATAGGTTTTACTCAGAGAATATTACATTTCTGTGTAGATCTCTTAAAAATAAAGATATTTTTACAATACAGGAAATGAGAAAGAAAATGGTAATACGAGTGAACAGCAATCAGTTAGTAAGTCCCTGTTGACACCAGCATTCAGCTGTTATTCTAGTCTGTACCAACCAGTTGCGGCAGAGACCAGGCTGGTATGAGAAGCAAGCGAAAGATGGGAGCAAGGAAGAAGAAGAACAAAAAAAAAAATCCAACATGTCATAGATATAAGAGTATATGTCCCTATCTACACATGGCAATGGCTTGATTTCATAGATAAACTTTTGATAAAGTAACCAGATTGAGATCTTTAACTCCCTATTGCTAACACTATCAAAAGCATGTCTTCTAAAGCACTAAGGAGTCATTTGCCATAAAGGCTGAGACAAAAGGATTTGTTTGCACATGTTCGACATCACTGAATTTACAAGTTACCTTTTAAAAGACTGACAAAACTTTGCAGGTTAAAAAACTGGTAGATGCCGTGCTTAAAGAAAACGGATGTAGTGGGCACTTGTGTTTTGTGTTCTGAACTGCTTTGAATATGTCTGTTGACTTTTAGTAGTCATTATAAGCCCAACTAATTGGCCAAGATCCTATAATGCCTGGTACTGTTTAGACATCATCTAGAAAGATTACAAATAAGTGTATCCGGCGAATGCTGGAGAGGAGATAGAAAAGACAGTATATTTTTGTAAACCTCTCAGTTACACTAAATTTACATTTTAGCCTATGTTAATCCAAAAATAAATAATTAAGGAAATTATAATAGGCCAGAATCTGTACAAGGAAAGAACTTTTCACTTTAACAGCTCAGTGTGACAGTGGAACAAGACCAGGCTAGGCTAAGTAATCACCTGGTCTGCCTGGAGACAATGTTAACAGAAGTACATCTCCTTGCAGCGTTTGTCATAATTCAGCTTTTTATTAGTTATTAGGCAGTCAAATAAGGGCTGTGTCCCTGGTCAACATTCTCCTGACACTGAACTCATATTCATGTTTCCACCTGCAGGTGCAAGAATAACCCTCCTTCCTCAGCACTTTGCACTTGAATCTTGGGCCCATCAGTGTTTCCTAGCATTTAAAAAACTTAAAAAATATAAAAATTGAGATTCTTCCCTTTAAGTTTAAAAAATATAGTTATGTATTTCTTTCACGCATTCTTTGCATTGTGTTATTTTTGGTTCATATGTTGTATCCCATGATTAACACATTCAGCAAAGCTCTATTTAAAAACCAAGTCTTTGAAGTAGTTTCTATCAACTGTTACGGCTCTCAGTTCATATTTGAGAGACACTTCCTACATTAGTGAATACACATGTAATTTGTGTAAGTAGATGAGTTTAGATTATCATACAGTATAGCAAGACAAATAACTGTGATTATGTGGTAGCTCAGCCCAAAAGGAGAACATTCAGAAGAGTGTTAAGTAAAATATACTAGTATACTCTATGAATATACAATAAATAAAACCAAAAGATAAAAGAGACATCCACTACCTCTCACATTTCTTCAGTATTTTTTCTTCCACTTATTTGCTGGCTCTATACTTACTGACAGTGTGATGAAAATAAATTATTTGTATTTTAAAGAGTTACACCTGTTTATTTAGTAAGAAATCTAGTAGCTGGGAATTTCAGAGTTGTGCAACTAAATGACCCTTAACAGTCTGGAAACTGTGTATTGAAAGATTACCTCCACACATACTATAGTCACCACTAGGTCGCCACACATACTATAGGTAGTCGCCAAGTTCAGCCATTTTCCTGGCTCATGCAGCAAACCAAACAGAGCCTTACACAATGTGTAAGAAATTTACCTATTGATCATAACCTCCAACAAAGGTCTTGTAACAGGAGTACAGAAGAGGACAAATGAGACAGAATATTCACATTTAGCCTTTTTCTCAATTATTCTAATTGCTTGCCCCCTGTCACACTGAAATGAAGCAAGATTTGCTCAGGTGTCGAGATGAGTTGGTCCCTGTGCATTATGTCATATTTGAAAGTGAGCAGAGCTTGTAAGACCAGCATCTTTCACAGTATGGATTAGAGCTTCACTGAGAGTCACAAAATGATCTAGAGAGGTTTATGCCGTGTTAAAGCCACTCAGATTGCTGCACGCATCCTCCCCTGGATGATAAAGCAGCAGATGATTTTCTCCCTCAAGGAGTAAGAACAAATACTACTCTTTTCTATGATCTCTAAAACTATAGCTATGGAAGGCTTATTTCTTGAAGAATAGTTGGAGGTGCACAGAAATGCTTTACACGTCCAAATTTCTACTGCTGCATCTGAGCAAGTATGCAGATTAATGCCCTTCTACAAGAAACCCTTTCACTCAAGTTTTTAAAAGTAGTCCCTGTATTTCCCTGATGTCCAAACATCCTTAGTAAAAGGAAATAATCCTGCTATATGGCTGACAACTAAAGTCATAACTTCACTGGATGTTTTATGACAAGGAAAAAATGCTACTAAATGCAGTACAAACTGTTCAAAAGAAATAAAACAAGAAGATGATAGTAACTTTAAAACACTATTGACCTTATGGCAAGTATCCACTTTTATTGTATTTTTAACCACCCATGAACACAAATATAAACTGTACTGCAATTGAAGATAGTATCTTCAAGAACCAGAATGAAGATAATGTGAATAGACTACTAGAGGAAGTCAGACAGAGGCAATATCCTTTAACCGGCCAATTGAAATAGCTGGAAAAATTACACCGACTTTAAGCATGAATGTTTGTCTGAAGGAGGACACATTTCATGGAAGGCTTATCTGGGCTTTCCAACTAGACAAATTTCCTGGAAGATATCAATTCTCATTTCAAACTGTGGCTAATTACATCCCTCATCCAGTTGCTCTTGAGTCTTTTTTTTCTTTTTCCATTAAAAAGAGCCTGATCTCAATGTTACAAACTTTTTGGGACACAGTATTTTCATAAAAGCCATTCGAAATTTGACATGACAGAGAGGGTAGAGAAATGGGTTCAAAGAGGAATTGATCCACAAAAGCCAAAAGGTTATTTCGTACAAGGAGTTATGAACACAGGTTCCCTGGCAGGCCCCACGAATAATCATTAGTAAAGTGTATGGAGCCCAGCAAACAGCAAACACACACACAATTATGGCAAGCGACTTTGCTATTTTCTTGTCCTGCTGCAGTTTTGACCTGGCCCTTGCACATAAAGAAAGAGATAAGTAATTTTCTGGAGTTACAGAATTGCCTCTGGATGGAGATGAGCTCTCAGTTCCCAAAGACTCTTTCTTTGGCCTCATGGAGGACGAAACACTGTCCTCTTCTTCCAACGGAGGAGAAAACACTCCTTGCCTCAGCGAGAGACAAAACCTCCAGGACAGGCTGCCATTCCTTGGAGGCTCGCAGTCCTGCGTGCTGCCGTGCCGCTGGCGCCTCTGGATGTTGTGAAAGATGTGCACATTGAAGTAGGTCACCGAGAGCAGCGGCACAAAGAACTCCAGGGTGGATGCGCACAGGAGGAAGTACCAGTTGTCAAAGAACTCAGCGTAGCACTGGTCTGCTGCTACCACACTGTGTCCAGCCACGTGCTCCCAAAAGAGGATTGCTGGGCAGTAGAGGAGGAAGGCAAAGACCCAGATGGCCACCATCTTGATGACAGGATTGGATGTTACTCCCTGCTGGGCTCTGTAAGATACCTGTGAGGGAAATAAAGAAACAGGTCACATCTGTAGCAACAAGTTTTGGAAGTGACAGAAGTAGGAGGAGGGGAACTTAGCAGAGTGCTTGGTAACTTGGAGCTGCAGCTATGCTGATCAGCTGAAGCTCACCCAAGTGTGTTTGATTCATCGATGTTGACATGTCTCTCTATGGGTTAATGTAACTGTGCTAGAGTGCTGGTCCAGGTGATGAAACATGATCATCCGTCAGTACCTAGTCATTTAGTATGCCTTGTTTGAGACATCTGTGGTCTGAAGTGCCAGAGTAATTGGCATTTTATAGTTGTTCAGAGCATGACTCCAAACTGCACTGCTTTTTACAGCATTTTACAATCAAATATGACTATATGCATCACAGTGGTGAACAGAAAATGTGGCACATACATTTAACCTTTGAGAAAATTGTTTATTACGCACTTCATGAAGAGGTGGGAATGCATTCCAGCTCTACAATGCAGCCTTTAGCTGATGAAACAACAAAATCACCCCTTTTCTTCCTTCTCTTCCCACTCCGGGATCGGTATGTATTTTCCACTATATGTTGCAGAACAGATATCTTGTAGCTCACATCCTGCTCCATCCCTTTCACAGGATGACAGGGTGAATGTGTAATTTTAGGATCTTTGATATTCAGTTTAAAATAGAAAAAGTATGAGTTAATGCCATTAAAGACTATCATACAAATGTCCATAGGTCTTAATTACATTTGTGCAGGTGCTCTTTAATTTTGTAATTTGTAAATGCTGAGTCTTTGACTTCCCAGTATAATGTTTCTTACATGCAAAATGTTTCAGTGTTTGATTTCCTGGAATTTTTTCCATAAAATAAAGTAGAATCATTAAATGTAAAAAAATAAAAAAATAAAAAAGGCAAGTATAATACGTAAAATTAATTATCATTAACGATAATAAACCTGAAATTCTATCATATGACATTATGCTGACATTTTCACACATCACCAAAGAGCTGGAACCTTTAGCTCTTCCCAACATTTCCCTGCCACTTGAGCTAACAGAGTGATTAGTGAGTGCTGGTCTCCATCCTCAGCATGAACCAAGATACAAAGGTCACAGAAAGGGGGTTGGATGCTCTGCAGAGAGCAGAGACATAAAGTGCATCTGAAGTTTGGAATTCTGCCCCAGGACCTGAGAGGAGTTTATCTGCCACATGTCCACAGGCAGCCTCTGCAGTGTGTCCTTTGTCTCAGCCTCTGCCCCATTTGCTCTTGCTCCTGGTCTTCTCCAGGATCATTTGAGGTCACGTCTCAGGGCAAGACATCCTCCATGGTGTCACTCACCTCACTGTCCTAGCCCCGCTGCCTCTTCCTTCCATGCCTGATTTTAGGTCCAAACTCAAATCCAGTTTATTTTGAATTTCCTCTTTCCTTGTACCCTTTTTACCAGCCCCTTTTCAACCTTCAGCATGCTTTCCCTCAAGCAGTAGCACAACAGCAACCTGAGGCAGAAATTTTGAGAAAAGTCTTGTTTGACTGCCTCTGGGCTGAAACATGCTCAATGCAGAATATTCACCACATCTGTCTGCAAATATCTAACAATCTCCACATGCCAGCATATTTTTGAGGGCTATTATCTCTATTAAATCTGGGCTTATACTCACCAACATGGCAAAGGTCAATGAGTATAATCCAAAATCAGAGAAGCTATAAACAGGGTACTTACAGCTTTAGTAACTGACAGGAAACGGTCATAGCTGATAAGAACAATGTTAAATACTGAAGCTGTGCACAGGAGATAGTCCGTAGCCAGCCAGAGCTTGCAGACGCCTCTTCCCAAGTGCCATTTCCCTGTCAGGCTGTAAGGGATGTAGAGAGGCATGCAGAACGCACCTATGGAAAGCAACCACAGAGACACCGTGTGGTTCATATGGATTGCAAACACTAGTCCTGGAAGCAGAGAGGCACTATTCTGGTGTTTGGATAAATAAATAAATAAATAAATAAATAAATAAATCTATTAAGGTGAATGTGTAACTTACATACAGAAATTCTTACATTCGCATGAAATCTGACAGTGAGATTCTATGTATTAGGTCTTAGTGTATTTGGGTATACTGATTGTTGGGGATAAGATTGGAGCAAATCAGCAAAGAAGGATCTACTGAGGAAGAAAATGGCAGTCTAGCCAACTTATAGTATGTAAAGATACAGAATCAGTGCTGCAGCATGTATGCGCTGTGGTTATGCTCTGACATTTAACCTCATTGCTGTATATCTTCTAGGCTTTGTTTTGTGCTAGAGTTTTCCCTCAAATACATCTACAGATGTTGTTAATGTTGGCTGTTAAAGTAAGATCAATTAGCATTTGTAAGCTACAGAAAATATATTGGACAGTCTGCATTGTATCTGGAAACCTCTTCTACCAAAGATAGAGCAGACACAGCAGAAGTATGAAATCCTCTCCCACTTTCTAGAGGTGTTTTACTCTCATGTAGGTTCTTCAGCTGAGATTAACTCCAGAACTATTTTTTTGGTTTGATACATTTGGTTTTTGTCCAAAAGGCCTTCCACTGAAGTACTTTCATAATAAAGTCATGTTTGTGTTTTATTTTCAAGCCAACAACTTCTTCATTTTACCACTAATACTCTTTCAAAAGTATGGTGCAATATCTGATGCTACATTTCTGAAAAAGCTGACCCACCAGAGACAAATATAAACCTATGTACAGTTTCAAGATCCATTTTAAACTCCTCAGATTATTCTTCTTTAATATATCCATCAAGATCTCAGAAGTTACTGAACATATCCAGGCTGATATGGCTCACTGACAATAATCCTCTGGGCAATGAGCAGACAGACTGTTACCAGCAGGCAAATGTGCTTTCAATACTGATGGCTTGTTTTAACATATACCTTAAATACAAGCAGTATAACTTTTGTACAAAATACTCATCTTTCAGAGCTGCTGGTGACAGATACAGCTCTCATCAATGGGATCAATGTTTGGCACCATGTCAACAAGTAATGACTGCTTTTAGCTATAGATATAAATACAGATGCAAGAACCAAGTTTTAAGCATTTATATTTGAAACTATTCTCACTTTTACTAATGAGAGTGCAAAAGACATGAGTCATATGCATGGAAAGGTTATAGAATACTAAGAAATTTAAGAAATTTAAGAAATTTCAGCTTCAGAAAATAAAAGCATTTTCTGACTGATCCCAGAGACAAAGTCCTAGATTTACACAATCAACATAATACTGATACCAATCATTTAGTCTTGGCTGATTTAAGACTCCATGAGGTACCAGCCACAAACAAGAACTGATGTAGAAGGCAGATATGTAAATCTCTTGACTAAACTGTAAGATAAGAGGAGAAACAGACTTTTGCAAAAGAACTGAGCAATGAAATGGCAGCTCTACCAGATTGTCTGCCTGGAGCAGGACAGCAAAGGCACCAGCACACGCATCATTTGGTTTCTGCCCCGTAGGGCGAGCCCCAGAATTAGGGACTACAGTTTATAAATAGCATAAATTAAGCAAAATCTTAAGGGCTAAACTAATACAATTCACTGCACAGCACTGACAAAAGAACAGCAGTTAGGGGGGACAGTACTGCCAAAATTGGAGTAAACCAATGACTGCAATTTCCCTCCTTGTGATTCAGTGAATATGGTTCTCTATCCTGAAGAGAAAGCACTTCTGTGGAGAAATGAGTCCTTGCTAGCCTCAAGTCAAGATGTTTGCTGGAATATCATCTGCCACAGGACGATGGTTTTGTCAGATTTTATCTGCTGCATGGTCTGTTTCCCTGGCCTGAACCCTGAAGGACTGCCACACGAGTCATTCACATGCCCACCTCCTTGCCTGGCATCACCCATCAGAACTGGATCCATGGCACCTCCAGGGGCCAAGTCTCCTGGACTTCTGCAGTGACACTATGGGAAGAGGGGACTAATTTGGAAAACAGATCGGAGATGCCAGCAGGCTGTTGCTGGCATCAAACAAGGCATCTGATCTATTGTCTGCACTGAGTGAAGCTGATAAAAAAAGTCATAGTTGTGAAGTGTTTAGATATAGTGTAACACACTCATAAGCCATTAGTACCATGCAGAGAAGTAATTAATTTAGCTGGAGGTATCACAGCTAGCTGTATGAAAAGAACAGTTACACTGTCAAATGTAAAGATATTCTGAAGTGTGTGATCCTACAAGAGGAGCAAAGGTAAATCATAAACTGTAGGAAACAATCTCTTTCCTTCAGTTGGCATTCACATAGAATAGATGCTTCTTTTTTCTGAAGCAACATTAAAAGTATGTAAATGAAAAAAGGATTCATTTCTCATTGTAACATATTTTGAGACATAATAGGCTGCTAAGATGCTTAATGCAATTTCCACCATTCCTTTCCCTAGACACACAGCTGGGAAATTGTTCTCTTAGAAGAAACCACACAGAAAAAGAAGTCCCCTTCCTTGCTTCTCCTAAGATTCCTACAAAACAAATAGTACACGCCTCCACCGCTGCCACTTACCCACTGCAAAGTCAGAAATAGCAAGATTCAGAAAGAAATAGTTGCTCCGATGCCTGAGATTTCTGTCCATGATGAAAGCAAGGATCACCAGGGTGTTTCCAAGGATGGTGACCAGAGCCAGCAACACCATGAGGAAAGCCAGCAGCACCAGCACACCCAGTGAGAACTCAGAGCTCGGTGCCGGTGTGCACAAAGTCTCGTTGCCTGTTCCCGCCGTATGTGGAGTTTCGGCAGTGCCGTTGTGCATGTTGCGTATCCAGGTCAGTTCAGTCTGGGAAGACATTCACATCTGGCAGATTTATCCAAAAGGCGGAGAGAAATCTGTCAACAGGATGGGCTGAATACTGACACATCAAAATAAAGGATCATAAAATTTCAAGGCCTGGAAACTCTAACATTCTTGATCTGAATGCACCTACTGGCCTGAAAACAAAATCTATAAAAAAGCCACCTCATAAGCAGCAGTAAGTGCACACTTTAAAATAAATTATCTCTTTCTCTCCTCAATGCTGATCCTTATCTACTGAGGTCAGAAAAGTTAGTCTGAAAACAACTTTTCACAGTCAAGCAGTTTGCATATTATTGTGTAAGCATTTTTACACATTGAATTCTGATGAAGCTAAAAACAGATTTCATTTTCACTTCCCCAGTGGTCAACAGGATTTAAATTATTACAAGTGTCTTTGTCTTACAGTAAACTGTAGGCACTATTGTACTTGCTGTTATACCACTTACTAAATTTTACAGTTAAGAACAGAGATGTATGTTTTGCAATGCTGCTGGTTACAGAGCATTTAAAACCCAGTTATACACATCAGAAATATCACCAATACCTTTTCAGCTCATCCTCATCAGAAGAAAGTCTAGCTCTGGGCACAACAAACCAAACACCTGTACTTTGGAGGACCTCATAAGTATGGTCCATCTAATCCTCCACTTCCCAAATAATTCCAGGTAAGCTCCCACTCCACAAAGTGCCAAACCCTTAGCCTTTGCAGATGTGAGAAGGCATATCCCTTCCTCATCACAATTTCATTTATTTTGGTAAGAGTGCACAGACACTGGCAGGCCATGGCTGTGATTCATGTCTGCAGCCCACCGACTCTGTAGCGCCACGGCACTCCCTGTAACCGGCTTTTCAGTCTGCAAACGTAATGCTGGGTACTTTAGAAGATGTAGTGAAAAAATAAGGAAAGAAAGGGCAGACAAGATGTCATGAAGAGAGGTGTGGTGCTCTGATCCTGTCTTGGGGAACAAAGGGAAATATATTGTAAGGAGTAATTAAAGCAAAAACTGTAGGGCAACAGGAACAGAAGAGACCTCAGGAATGATGAAAAGTGGTAAATAGACACCTGCCCCAGGTGCATGTGTAGAAGTGCAGCCTGGAGCCTGTGTTCTTCCAACGCACAGGAGGAACTAGAGCTCCCTGTGCAGTCACAAAGCCACCAGGCTGTTGGAGTAACAGAGATGGTGGGGCAGCTCACACAACTGGAGGGCTGCAACAGGCAGAAATAACCTTGTCAGGAAAGGCAGGCAGGGAAGATGAGGAGCAGGGATTGCCCACCATGTGCAGAAGCAGGTTGCATGTATGGACGTCTTCTATGAGATAGCCAGTCTGGTTGCAAACTTGTGGGTCAGGGTCAGAGGAGGGACCAGTGACACGGGTCACATAGGGGTGGGAGTGTGTTGCAGATGACCCTGATCAGGGTAAGGCAAGAAAGCTTCTGGCTCACAGACCCTGTTTCTTGTCTACAACTTTAATGTTAATGACATCTGCTGGAAGGGCAACACAGCAGGTACAAGCAGTCATCAAGATTCCTGGAGAGTATCAGGGGCAACTTTCTGATACAAGTACTGAACGGGTCAACAGGCGTGACACACAGCTAGATCAGCTGTTCACTGGTAAAGAGTAACCAGCTCGGTTAGGGAGGTGTAATCAATGGCAGCCTTGGTTGTAGGGACTATGAGGTACTGGAGTTCAAGATTCTAAAGCTGGTGAGGAAGGAGAGTGGCAGAGTACAGACCATGGACTAGAGATAAGCATGCTTTGGTTTATTCAGGAAAGTAGTAGGTGGGATCCAATGGGAGGCAGCTCTGAAGTGAAAATATGCTCAGGAAACCTGCAGGCCTCTAAGGACAGCAACCTCTATGCTCAAGAAAGTGCCACCCCCATTGTCAAGAAAAGAAGTAGAGGTTGCAATGAGACTGGTTAATGAGGGAAGTTACAATGCAAAAAGGCAGCATGAAGGAGTTTGAAGCACGGACAGAATACAAAGGAGGAATTTAGAAATGTTGCCTGGCCTCATAAACATGATGTTGGGAGAAGCAAAGCTCACCTAGAGTTGATACCTGTAAAGGACATCAAGGACAACATGAACTTCAGCAGCCCCACTAATAGTAAAATACTGAAACATTTTAACATTTTAAGACACAGGTAGGCCTGTTGCTGAATGGGGCCAGTGATCTAGTGACAGCAGATGTGGATAAGGCTGGAGTACCCAATGCTTTATTTGCTTCAGTCTTCACTAGCCATAAGAGTTCATGCGATATGATGGGCTACATCCAAGGCTGCTAAGAGAATCAGCTACCATCCTTGCAAGGCCACTTTCTAACCTCTTTGAAAGGTCAGGGAGATGAAGGGAGGTTCCCAATCTAAGACTAAAGAAAGGCAAATGTTGCACTCATCTTCAAATGATGCCACAAGGACAAAAGGTCAGCCTCTCTGTGGTCCCTGGGAAAGTAATAGAGCAAGTCTTCATGGAAGGCATTTCTGAGACCTTGAGGAAGGAAAAGGTGACTGGGAACAGTCAGCATGGGTTTACCAAGGGTAAATCATGCCTGAGCAACTTGGGTGTCTTCTTTGATAAAATAACTGGATTAGTGGAAAAGAGAAGAGTAGCCATTTGCTTTTAAAAATTAGGGAATAAATCAAATGTTAAAGTTTTAATCATAGTCCTTTATAGGACTGAGGGAGAAATCTGTGTGGTCACTCCTTCCTTCCTCCCTGCAGAGGAAAAACCATAGCCTAACATAAAAGAGACAGAGATTGGGAGAGTCATTAGGGTTAAATACTCATCCCAGAAATAAACAAACAAACAAATGATAACACAAAAGATAAAACAAAAATATATGTTTTATTTGGGTTTTTTTAAGACCTGAGAGGGTAAAGTTAGAAATACTTTGTTGTGGTTTGAGTTGAACCTCACAGAGTCATAGGCCTACTGTCACCATGTATTTACAAGAGTTATTGGACATCTGCAAAGACAGAAGAAAATGCAAGGGCATGAAATGGTGAAATGGATGAGTGAATAGATAGAGAGAATTTGCTTAGAAATCACTTTGTCAAGCAAAGTCTATGTATGTCAGTGCATGAAAGGCACACCCAAGAACAAATACCGAATAAGCATCTTACCATAACCTGCAAAATGGGAGGAGAATGCCACTTAGGATGCCACCTTGAGCAAGACAGCTCTAATGCTGTCAGCACAGCAACTAAGTGCTTGACTTACCCGCTTGACTAGCACTGAGCAAAATTTTCAACAATTAGAAAAATACAGCAAATTCTTCAAATATACAGGAGGGATGTGACGAAACAGTTTGAATGTTGTTTTTGATGTTCTTTATTACAAGCACATGGATCTCTAGTAGCTTCACTGCTGTACGTGGTTTCAAATTTGCTGTTCATTGTGCTCCCTGTCAAACTCTAGTTTTCCCGGAATGAAAAATGTGGATACAGTTTGCACATTCTTTAATCATAAAATGCAAACTGAATTTTTATACTAAAAGCATAGGGACAGAAAAGCAGATAACTCAAATACTTTCCCATTTTGGGCCTACCTATAGTTTCTCTGTTTAATAAATGTTTATTTAGTACACTAGCTACTCTATACATATTTTAAAGGGGAGGTGGTGGTACCTTTGTGTCTGTGTGTGTTTGGTTTTTTTTTAAGTGTCACAGGAAAAAAAAAACCCACAACACAAAACAAACAAAAAACCCCCCACAAAACCTATGCCAGCCCCTCAGCTCATGACAGTGAAAAGAGCTGTGCCAAATCAATGACCTCCTCCTGAAGCTGTATCTCTCTCTTGGCAATCAGGCTTACAATCTGTAACACTGTCCATGTGAGGCAAGGAAGCATAACTAGAATGAATTTTGAAAGATAATCTTCCAGCAGTGTGAAAACTGGTGAGAGAAATTTCTGTTCCAGACCTCTAAACAGAATGGCATTTTAGTGCCTTGAAGCCATCGACTTCTGTGCTATGATTAAGCTGCTTGCATTTGAATTGTGCTTGCAAAGGAGTACTCTGCTTCTGCAACACTTCTGCAGCCAATTTCAAATTAGATAAAAAGTACTATTTAAATTGACTACTGCTCTTCATTTTTCTGTGCATCAGACTTCTTCTTCCATATTTTATACATTTCTAGATGTATACAAAGAGGAAAGAAAATTATAGAAAAGGAGAGAAAAAAAAATTAACCAGTGACTCTCACCCATCCATGAAAGCCACCTGGGTGAGTTGCAGCACCCAGCACAAGGTAAGAAGGTTTGGCACATGGAATGGGTTATAACCAAGCTCCATTGCCTTCAACAACACATCTACTCACTCCTTTCAGCACTGCTATTCAGCCACTTTGTTTATTAACAGCAGCTTAAGACACTCTGTGTCAGCTTTCAGACCTCTGTGAATCCCATTTCCAAGCAGCGAATATGGCCCCTGTTCAGTGATAGGAAAAAATCCACTTTGATACTGGTTCAGTGGCAGAGAAAATCCATGTAATGTCACAGTAACAAGACACAAAGAACTGATCTAGTATAAAAATCACTCTGACAGTTCAAATTTGTTCCAGACATTTTGATGGAATATCTTTGCACTTGTAAAGCTTTACACTCGAGAGGGTATTATCTACTTTTGCACAGCCAGCCAAAATCATAAGTCCAGCATGAACTTTGTATTGCTCGCTCAGCTAATTCAACAGGATCCTGTGCCCAGCCTGGTCTGTCTTTTAGGTAACCAAATAGTGCACAAATCTGGCACTAAATATCAGATAAGTATGACCAAAGAGGCAGCCTCTGTCAGGCAAAAAAGATAGTACTGGTGAAAAGAGTAACAACCATTTATGCCTGTGACAATTTTGATAACCAATCTCAAAATTCCATTACCATGGAAACTTTCATTCTCTGAAAATCATCCAGAATTACTAACTTTTCATGCACTGTGTCCTGCAACACCAGGTATGGACTATAATAAAATTAGAAGAGGACAGATCTGCTGGATTAGCCAGTCCATGCACTTGCATATTGCTCACTGTGGGTATTATAACGACTACAGGGCACTATCTTTTCTTCATAATAGTTTTTAAAATTAAGTTATACTGCTCCTGTGAGTATTTTTACAGCCTTTCAAAAATGTAGCAGAACTGCTACTTTATTGATAGCTTTAGGTTCACAAATAGGACATAAATTTTAACTCAACTCATACACAAACAGATATCTCCCTTCAATGAACCTCTATGGAGATGTCTACAGAAAAGATCTTTCATAGTACCAGATGTATTTTTAAAAAAAAGGTAAAAAAAAAAAAGCACTACAAACCACAAACCAAGGACACCCAGCAAAGCTTGTTATTCTTTTTAATGCACTAGATGGTGTTTAATGCCGCATCATACCAGCTAAAAGAAGATCCTGAAATCTAGCAAAATCAGGGCAAATACATACCTCTGCTGCACTCTTAACCAATGCAATTAATAAACAAAAGTTTTTTCTCCATTTCTGTTGAAGATATGTATAAAAAAATGCATTAGAGGGGAAATATTATCTGTAAGTCATTTATTTTAACTGTCTAAAAAGAAGGTGTGTTACGTGATCTCAACATTGCAAACTTTTTGGGACATAGTATTTTCATAAAAGCCATTCGAAACCTCATATGACAGAGAGGGTAGAGAAATGGGTTCAAAGAGGAATTGATCCACAAAAGCCAAAAGGTTATTTCGTACAAGGAGTTATGAACACAGGTTCCCTGGCAGGCCCCACGAATAATCATTAGTAAAGTGTATGGAGCCCAGCAAACAGCAAACACACACACAATTATGGCAAGTGACTTTGCTACTTTCTTGTCCTGCTGCAGTTTTGACCCAGTCCTTGAACGGAAAGAAACAGAAAAGTCCCTTTTGAGAGGTGTGGGACTGGTTTGTGTTGGAGATGGACAGTTAGCCATCACTGCCGGTCTCCATGACCTCGTTAATGATGAAACACTGTCCTCTACTTCTGAGGAAGATGATGTTCCTGGCCTTGGCAAAAGACAAAACCTCCAGGACAGGCTGCCATTCCTTGGAGGCTCGCAGTCCTGCGTGCTGCCGTGCCGCTGGCGCCTCTGGATGTTGTGAAAGATGTGCACATTGAAGTAGGTCACCGAGAGCAGCGGCACAAAGAACTCCAGGGTGGATGCGCACAGGAGGAAGTACCAGTTGTCAAAGAACTCAGCGTAGCACTGGTCTGCTGCTACCACACTGTGTCCAGCCACGTGCTCCCAAAAGAGGATTGCTGGGCAGTAGAGGAGGAAGGCAAAGACCCAGATGGCCACCATCTTGATGACAGGATTGGATGTTACTCCCTGCTGGGCTCTGTAAGATACCTGTGAAGGAAAAGGACATGTCGCATATTCAGATAATATTTGGGAATAACTATCTCAAAATAACATAAGCAAGCAAGTCAAATATATTTGTTCTGTTCTGACACCCAGACATCTATACCATTGTCACTTATGTAAGGTCCTGTTAGTCTTGCGCCTCAAATATTGTAGCTCTGTGATTGATTTTAATACTTGGGATTGGAGAGGAGCAGAAATTATGATGGCTAAACTACCGTTTGGTTTCCAGGTGCGAAAGAAATGGCTTGTTTTCATCACCACCACAGTAAGGTAGCAATAAGGAATCAGTTTATCATTCATGAAATGCCCAGGCTCAGAGGAGAGCAAAAGCAGCTATGGGACTTCCTTCCTGCAGAGGCAAAAGTAGAAGCCTTCTATATTAAGATTGCCACGTGAGAATGCAAACACAAGACCATAGAATTTTTAATACTGCTTCCTCTTGTCATAGCAGAAAAATCTACCCCACACATATGTTTTAACATCCCTTACTTTATTGAAACATTCTTTTTTAGCATTCACTTTACCTTGTAAACAGCTCATTGCATTACTGCAAACCTTGATGTTTTTATATCTACCCAGACTGCATTAATTTATTTTACTCTCTAGCCAAAAATATCTACCTTTGAAAAAAAAAATTAAGAATTAAAATCATGTCATCCAAAGTCAGGAAATCTGAGAGCTAAAACCACCCTTGTACTAGCCCAGCCAGTATGTGCAATACATGCTCCCAGCTCTTGGTCCCCTGCATCTTTCAGAGCACAAGATGTTCAGTTAATGAGAAGCTAGACAGTTTTATTTCCTCTATACTGTCCAGCATTTGTCATCTCAGGCTTTACTCAGACCCAGAACTACTACCTTCCTCATCAGCGAAGCTGTTCATTAGCATAGCACCTACATGCTAAACAAATATTAATGAATTGTACCTTCACAGCCACATACAACATGAGAGGTATTGTCCCTATTTTACCAGTGAGTAACACAGCAGTAGTGCAGTGTTACACACATCATTTTAGATTCTCTCTTTCAAACATCTGCAGCCTGAAAATTCAGACTCCTCTACATCTTAAAGCATCATATAATCTCAGAGTACAGCTCCACTTCTGCAATAATGAATTTGCAGCCCTTTGTAAGACCACAAGCATCACAATTTAGTAGGCAAAAAACAGGAAGCTCAGTACAGCTTCACAAAAAGTTAAGTCAGAAATGATTGGCCCCTGGCCACAAGTTGGGTTTGCAGCAGAGGCAGAGGTGGATCCTAAGTCCATGAGGAAACATGACATCTTTTCTTTGGATAACAGCCCTATGTTACACACTCCTGGACTCACTTCATCCTAATTACCTAAAGGAGAAAAACAGAATGTGATTATGTAAACAAAGACTATCAACAGTGTGTAAGAACATGGAGCTCAGTTGGGTTGCAGAGGCCTTCTTAATTTACATTTCTCACAATCTGAGCTCTGCAACTTCCGTAATATTTTTCAATATTACTATTTCTTAAATACAGGGATTTTCATACTTTATTGTTCAGCTTTTTTTTTTTTTTTTTTTTTTTTAAAAAGGTAGCAACAACTAACCCTAAAACCACAACACTGGGGAAAAAGAGAAAAAGATTAGGCACTGTATCAGTACTTCCTAAATGAGATCCTCCCAATCTAACACAGATCATGTCACTCAAACTACCACACTCAAAGGCAAAGGATGTTGATCATCTTCCATCTGGACAAAACACCAGACAGACCTTAGAAATGGTGAATGAAAATATTTACCACTTGATTGTCAGATATTTTCTGAAGCAGAAGAACGATAATACTCAAGAAACACCTCTTACCTCTTTGCATATTTTGATTCATTCTTCTTTTTGCTTCAAGGGATTAGATTCCACCCAGCTGCTTGTTGGCAGCACATGTCAATCACCCCCTGTGGTAACACAGATCCTCATCTGATCTTCAGTCAGTCCATCCCACATCTCTATCCATACCCTCTTCTCCTTTTAAAATTTATCCCAAGCCCTAAGCACATCCTTGACTCAATCTAGTTTTCATTACTACATTTCTAATGACCAAAACCCAAGTTTTGCACACACCTACTGCCCTTTACTTACCTTGACCATTCCACCTCCTTTGTACTGTAATTAAATAGTTTCTAACCCAGGCGAAAGGAGGGAAACACTGAAATCATACACAAGGCATTGTCCTATCTCTAAGTCCGAATGTAACATAAAAGCATCAGCTTTTCTCCAGAAAGAAGTGGTACAGTAACAAAGGACTAGTTAGCTTCTGGTGTTACTGTGAACAATCTTTTATATAAAAATATATATATACATATATATACACATATAAACAAATAACTTGAACTATTCTTCTTACAGCTTTAGTAACTGACAGGAAACGGTCATAGCTGATAAGAACAATGTTAAATACTGAAGCTGTGCACAGGAGATAGTCCGTAGCCAGCCAGAGCTTGCAGACGCCTCTTCCCAAGTGCCATTTCCCTGTCAGGCTGTAAGGGATGTAGAGAGGCATGCAGAACGCACCTATGGAAAGAAACAAAATGCACATCAGTCAGCACTGCAGGCAGTGCTCGTGAAAGCAAAGAAACATTTCTGTGGTATCTGATAAAAGATCAATACTGACTGGAATTGCCGTGTGGAAGGCTTTGTATTCTTATACAAACAATGAACATTCAACTACAATCTAGGCACCAGCAATGTTTTTATAATTAATACCTTTCTGAAAGGTGTGTCATATCTATTATCATTATTACTTCTCCTGTTTACATCACCTGCTAAAGGAAGGAGCAGCTGACTTTTTTACCTGCTGAAGTAAACATTATTCTGTATTAAGCTACTGAAATTAAAATAAACATGTTGAGCATGATGTCATATGATATGGAACATCCCTGTGGTCAGTTGGGGTCAGCTGTCCCAGCTGTGTTTCCTCCCAACTTTCTGTGCTTCCCCAACCTATTCACTGGTGGGGTTCTGTGAGAAGCAGAAAAGGCCTTGACTCTGTGTAAGCACTGCTCAGCCCTGACAAAAACATCTCTGAATCATCAACAATTTTCCCAGCAAAATCCAAAACATAGCCCCGTACCAGCTACTATGATGAAAATTAACTCTACCCTAGCCAAAACCAGCACAATTTGTTATTTTTATTTACATACACAAACACATATTCCTAAGGTATGACCCTAGATAGAGCAGGTACAGCAAAATTTTGAAAAATACTATTCATCGCTATTTAGTTGCAAACTTCAGATGATTATCTGTATTGTGTGAGAGTAGTTTGAAATGGAAGATATTAACCACATATGCAACATCTGTTAGATAATATATGCTGTATTTGATTTGACTATCTAGACTTTAGTCAAGACTCTTCACAAGCACCTCCCATTCTTTATTATTTCACATCTATTCACACACAGCAATATTTTTTTCCTGAAGCAATAACATTAAACACTATCTGTTTACCTGGTAAAGGATCAGCTTCTTAGAATCATAGAATGGTTAGGATTGGAAGGGACCTTAAAGATCACCTAGTTCCAACCCCTCTGCCTTCAGCAGGGACACCTTCCACTAGATCAGGTTGCTCAAAGCCTCATTCTTATAGTAATGTATTTCTGAAAAACAGTAGGCTGCTAAAACAATGCAGTTTCCACCATTCCTTTCCCTAGACACACAGCTGGGAAATTGTTCTCTTAGAAGAAACCACACAGAAAAAGAAGTCCCCTTCCTTGCTTCTCCTAAGATTCCTACAAAACAAATAGTACACGCCTCCACCGCTGCCACTTACCCACTGCAAAGTCAGAAATAGCAAGATTCAGAAAGAAATAGTTGCTCCGATGCCTGAGATTTCTGTCCATGATGAAAGCAAGGATCACCAGGGTGTTTCCAAGGATGGTGACCAGAGCCAGCAACACCATGAGGAAAGCCAGCAGCACCAGCACACCCAGTGAGAACTCAGAGCTCGGTGCCGGTGTGCACAAAGTCTCGTTGCCTGTTCCCGCCGTATGTGGAGTTTCGGCAGTGCCGTTGTGCATGTTGCGTATCCAGGTCAGTTCAGTCTGGGAAGACATTCACATCTGGCAGATTTATCCAAAAGGCTGAGAGATTCATGAGGAGTATTAACAGGATGGGCCAAAAATTAAATAAACATTTTAAAAAAATTTACTCAGGAGGGGAAAACCTTAAAAGGTTCTGATGATAGATAAATCTAGTTTTCCTAAGATTTTTTAAACTATGCATATCTCTAGAAGAATTACCAGTAAGAAACATGCAGTTTTTCCAAGTCATATTTTAAAATGCAAGTTCTTCTTTATGCAACCTGATCCTTATCTGTGGAGGTCAGGAGGGCTGATTTGAGAATATCTCTAGCTTTCGCCCCTTCCTCCCTTGTTCCCTCCCTTGCAGAAGTGTTTTGCTCGCTAGCGTTTTGGACAGCAACTTTTTCTGGAAATTTTTTCTTAATATTGGTACATATCCTTATAAGAATTTCAACTACTTTCTCATTTCATCCTTGTTTATCTAGTATCTTTGTATTTCATAAAGTCTATGGTCCCTCCCTATTGTGTTATATCTTTTTGTTGGCCAAAGGCATAGTCAGCTTTGTTGCTGTTGTTCCTCTTTCTATGGATCCTAGGGCTGAAAACTGATATGCTCTAAGTAAGCATACATATATATATTTACTCAGAGCAGTTAACCAGTAATGGTCCAGCCCTCAGAGATCATTTGCAAAACTCCCACTGAAATTAGTTTCAAAACTCTTAGCAGCACTCTCCATGACACAGCATTGGCTGCTGCCGACCCAGAACCAAGGAACGAAATACGGACTTCCTGGATGTGAATGAGAGTTTGGCAATTAACTTTAATAGGACTAGGCTTTTCTTTCCACATTAGTGGGAAAAATCCTGTGTCTTCCACAAGTGCTTATATTTTCTATGAGTAATGAAGCCACTTGCAGAGAGCTGTGAGCATTCCACAGTTGTAAAAATTCAATTGTTTTTATTATGTGTTCTAAAAACACTTTGGTGTCTAATTTTAGATACTTAAATTTGAAAAGTGTTGGCTGTCGTGTCTGTGCTTCTGTTGTGGGAACAAATTAATTGGCATGAAAAGTGTGTTTACTAAATGTTTGAATGGCAGCAGTATAAAAAATGCAAAACTTTATTATCCATACAAATATCTTCACAGCTTGCCTGTCCATTACTGCTTTAAGTTTTCTTTCGTTTCCAGGTAATGCTGGAAACACAGAAAAAACACTTTGGCAACAACTACTAAGTAATACCACTAGCCTTTCCTCTGCTAGCAGTACTGAAGCTGATCTACATTAAATTTTTGAGGTCCAAGCTATTGTTTGGTTGAAAAGAAAATAAATTAGTGAACAAATGTGAGGTCAAATTAAGGGTTCAGCCAAATCTGTATCCTGTCTCAACTGCCTCTAGCCTAAGGAAGAGTATAAGGACATGGCAAAATATACTGCTGGTGTGCTCCCTATGCCTCCAGTGATGTGTGCCTCCTTGAAGCACAGGTAATAATAAAAGCACAATAATCACAGGCTCTTTAGGCCATGAGGTATGCTGAGGCATCGCTCTCAAAGGAAAGGACAAAATTCTGCATTGCAAAACTCTTCTGGAAAGCCACATGAAAACTTGTTCTTAGAATAAAGGAAGTTTAAGCAGGAAATGCTTGCAAACAAAAATAGGAAGAGAAAGCAACTTCTCTAACCAAAAGTGTCCACAGGACAGCTAGCCAGCACTTCACATTCTCTCTGAAATAAACGGCACGAAAATACATATTTCCATTTTGATGGTCTGTTTCCAGCCCCTTTAAGAGATAGAGGATTCATTTTGCTCACCAATTGGATGACCTATATGGTCTACTTCATTTATGCACAAGCAGTTATCAAAACCTTGTTTCTTCCATCTTGGGGTTTTAGTTTTTACTAACTCACAACACTGAAACATGAGATTCCTGCAGAAAAAGATTAGTATCTTCTGGAAAAACAACAAACCAAAACAAAAACAACAACAAAAAAACAGGAATAAAAATAAATAATCAGACACCTGGCTTTCACATACCTCAGACTGAACACCCTTCAGAATTACTTGTTGATTCTCAGCATTCAAATTTAAAAGATGCTTTTGGAAAAAGAACATGCATTACCATGAGTGGAACTGAATGAGTGGCAGCCGTAGGACAACCATCTCGCAATTTACCCGCTTCCCAAACTAAGTAATTGCTACAATTTCAACCTTTCATAAAGCAACAGAAACTTTGGAACACTTAAAGTACTGGGAGAGAACAGCAAAATAAAAGTCTATCAATAAGATAGTCAAAATATGAACAAGAAATACTTGTATGACCCCAAAAATGCAAGACTACTACATATAGTAATATATGGACCTCCTTCCCTGGGACGAGTGCTATGTTATTATTACAAGTACAGATGCTAAGGCTGAAACCAAAAGAGCTTTACTATGCAGAGAGAGTAATATAACTGTGTAAAATTTTTTCAATGAATCAATGCAGAATCTATCTGCCAGGGAATCAGTGGCTTTTTTTTTTTATTTTTTTTTTTTCCAAATCATGTAATTTAGTGGTACTTTTCAAGTTATTGAAAATCTGTTGCTATATGAAACTCTGGAGTAGTTACTTTGATTAGATGAAGTTTGCCTTGGGAAAGGTTTTCTGAGGTACTCCTACTGGAGAATTGTAACGAACACTTCAGTGTAAGAACACATTGGCAAAAAGACATGTACCAAATTGGTGGTTAAATAAGCTACACATACACCTTTAAACTATGCACATGCCACTAGAGAAATGTCATTAAAAATAGTCACAGCCCTGACATTACTATATGAGCAAACTATATAAGGTGTACCTGACCTCAGAAAGCAGCTGTGACTCAGCTAGTAACGAAGGGATCACAAAGTTTAGAAATTAACTTGAGGAAAAAAATAAAAAAACCCAACAGATCATCATCCTCCCCAAGTGGAAGATCTCAAGGGAATGTTAAAAAATTATTTAAATTTAATCTAAATAGCAATATGACAATTAACTGACCAACGGTCCTGTTAATTTTTTTTGTAATACATTAGATAAGTCTGGAAGCTATAAAAAAATAAAAGAGTAGAAAATTCAAGTGTTTGTGATCATATCATTAACACTTGGTTTTTTGCCCACTCTAGACCAATGGAAGTAACTTCAGAATGTTTACTAATGTTCACTGCTAGTTGTAACAGTCCGATTTCAAAATCCTCATATTCTTTGTTGAAATCACTGGTTTCTTTAATTACATAACCCTTAACCATCAGCTTGTCAACAGGCTCTTAGAGTCCCAACACTCACACCACGATGCTTAAAGAAATCCTGAAGTAATGTCTTTACTTTTCTTAGTTTATCACCTACACTGAGTCGTTCTCATGTCACCAGGCAGGCCCTATCTAGCATGATCAAGAACAGCACAGGCAGGATCAGGCTCTCCAAAGTCATATAACACTGGGCTGCACGCCTTCCTTTTACGTATAGGAAATCTAAAACTTCATAGGCGACCTGGTCTATGAATGACACCAGTCTCACTCTCCACACAACAAACTAGAGAATTCAAGTTCTAACATAAGACAGGTGTTTGTGTTCCAAACCAGGAATGGAGAAGATAAGTAATCCACATTTTAAATTAGTCACCCATCCTTGGGTGGGAGGTGGTTGGATGGGTAAATGGTTCCAGATGTTACAATGCCCTCAAAGCAGGGAGCTGAAACATTCAAGAATACAGAAAACATGTCTTTAAAAGCTCTACTTCACAACAGCAGAAAAAAAAAAAAAATCACAGAACAAGATGAAAATATATCTATAGCTTTACTGAATTATCTTTTGAATACAAAATATCTGTTGTATTGGATAAGGCAATAGTGTCCATGTTTTCTTTGTATAAATATGTGCAAAATAATCTTTCCTAGTTTTTAAAAAATTAGTCTTCTGTTCTCTTCTTGTTGTCTTTCCTTATCTTTTTGCTCTTTCCTGCTTGTTTAGATGACTCTTCCTGAAATGAAAAACAAGCATTTAAAATTTAATCAACATTCTTATATACTGTGAGCATTCTCCCAAAGTCACTCATGAGAATTATTTTTAATATGAACAGTGTTCATAGTTCACTGGGATTTACAAAAGTTTTGAGCTGTATAATACTTAACCACTCAGTTTTATTAATTTGTCTGGTGATCTTGTTATTTAGAAACTTGTGCCTTCAGCAATGATAAAATTCCAGACATAGCTATGCCAACAGAGTTATACGATGTAAAAAAAAAAAATCTAAGCCATTTCCACTCAAGGAAGAGGTCACTAGTATAGGAATACATCTACACTACACTGCAAAACTGCCTCTAGTGTGGATCAAGTGGCCTGATCAAGAGATACGCTGTACATCAGCACATTAAAACCATTTCCCCAAGTGAAACAATCCTACGCTTGGAAAAACAAAATTTTGCCAGTCTTGCTGGATCAACATTGTAATGTAAAGCTTACTCTGACTGCCAGTTCTGAAAAACAGGATTTCTCTTCAGTAGGCATACATCACAAGCACTCCACAAAATGCTGAAGGAATCTGCCACTACATCTTGACAGAACTTGGGGCATTTTAATCTTCCCCCTTCTATCCCTTGTGCATGGGAGGGAAATTGACCCTAATGGATGTTTGAATTCTGCTATTCTGAAGAGAGTTAGACAAAAAAATCTTGGGGCATTTTAATCTTCCCCCTTCTATCCTTTGTGCATAGGAGGGAAATTGACCCTAACGGGATGTTTGAATTCTGCTATTCTGAAGAGAGCTGGCCAAAAGAAAACTTTTTCCAAGAGCCACATCTATGGTACTAGAATAATAATCACCATAAGTTCCATCTGTTGTTTTTCTGATGGACACTGGTAACAAAATACATTTGTTAATACACAATAAAGAAATACAGTCTGATTTAAGTTGTTAAAAATAGAAAATAAGTCATTCTTGGCACTAAATCCTCTCCTGAGGGTAAATGCTTAAAAACCTCGTTAGAATTTCCTTTAATTTTATAAGCAATGTATTTAAATAAGAACATCGATAAACTGCCAAGAAGGTAAATCAGTAAGTATATTCAGTCACTTCTAAAATGCAAAAAGCAAGTAACTGAAAAGTGCACAGGGACAAATGGGGAAGAATACTCAGCTTTCTGCCACAGCAATCAGATACTTTCAGATAAAAAAGGAAACTGACAGCTGCATACTTTTTCAAGTATCCATTAGTAATTATGTCCTACTGTCTTAAACTTTTTATTGTTAGCACTTACATTCTATAATGTACATAGACATATCTAATATGCTGTTCTGAAGATGAAGAAAATAAATGTTGAAAAACAGGAATATTAGATGATTAAATAACTCAAGTCCCTTAAGAAGTAAAATGACATTTAAAGACATTTGGAACTTTGTCTTCTGAGTTGTTTAAGCTCCCTTGAAACGTTTTCCCTTGGGTTTTGGGTTTTTTTTTTTTGTTACAGTTAATGTTACTTTATTTGAATTCATCTAGTCTAGGTTGTTTGGTTTTTTTTTTAAATGGCATCTATAATCTCCAGTTCTGAAAACTTCTTTGGGTCTAATAAAGCTTTCACTTTTTAAAATGCCTGCTAGTTACAGTGATTCCCATGCTCAGTTTGCATGAACCGGTGGCACAGGTAAGCATGAGAAGCAGCAGCTTCCAGTTTCCTGAACATGCAGAAGAGGCATCTCCCTTTCCCATCCTCCTTCAACCCTCAAATTTGTGTTTTGGACCAATGTTCTCAACAGCTGCCACCCTTCTATTGCACACCTCACACCTACAAACTAGGTCACTAACTTATCTGGAAGTTGTTCGGGACCCTCTGCACTGATCCCACGCATGCTATTAGTGCATCAAAGCAACCAGAAGATATCACAGGTAATATTACTTTTCCTCTGGTTTCATCTAACAGAGACAATTGCCACAAGTTCACAAACGCCTTCATTCTAAGTGGCAGAAACTTACCACTGAATGTACATAGTTGTATTCCACGAGTATGTTTCTTGCACAATTGTTTATATGTTTAAAACGATCTGGTCCTAACAGAATACCTCCATACCAGCGCGATACTACGACCAACACATCGCGGACGTTCAAAATCTGTTTAAAAAAGGAAAAAAAGGAGAGAAAGAAAAAAGTTCATATTTTTTAACTGAACTAGTTTTATTGTTGACACCTATTTAAACACAGAAAAAGTCTACTATCTTGCATTTTTCAGAACTTACAGTCAGGTCTGTGTCATGCATGTTATCAGAGGGTAACACATAATGACAAGTCAGCAGCTGTGGTAAGTTTTCCTCTCCAAGTTCCTAACTAAAGGTAAATCCAAAGTAAAATGACTCAATATATCCCTCAGAAAAGTTGTAAAACTACCTCATGCACACTACAGTTGCTCATCCATGTGTCAAAGGCTTCAGGCATTACTTAAAGGGAGAATTACCGAGTTAGATTTATTATTCTTTGATATGATTAATTATTATTTCCAGAGAACCTCTATCACTAAGCAGATTGTCTATCCACATTTTTGGAAGTGTTGTAGATGAGGCTAATAACAGCCAGGTGACAGGCATGATTTGTATCAATACATAAATGCCATAAGCCAGTACTGTTGCCATGTGCAGGACAGCACCTGGATAATACATAAAAACCCTCTGCACTTTCCAGGTTTGAGACATAGGAGTAGTTTTCTGAATTCAAAAAGGCATATATAAAGTTCACATAACATGAAACAAGTGTATTAGCAATTAGGATTGAAATAACTAAGCAACATTTATATAGCTTTTTAAAGACTGTAAGTAACAAAATCAAGTAGAGTTAAACAGAAGTGATGATTTCTTTTATTTCTTCCAGGCAAGAAACCTGCAAGGCCTTCAACAGCTTCGTTTTTCACAAAATCTAAATGACTTGAAAACTAGCATTTATTCCTCCTTACAGCAGTTCTGTCCTCAAGATCTCCCATCATCAGCAAACACCAGTCACACAGGGAATGCCAACTGACTAAGTGTAAGAGAGAAACACATATCTTGTCAAAATATAAGATATACATTACTGCATGGAAATGTGTAGTGACAATCACCTGTCAGCATTTTCGCTCAAATTTATCTTGCATGATTAGTGACCATGATCCTGAATTTGTCCCTCAAACTAACAGATCTGAAATCTCTATGGAAGGTCTTCACTTCTAAGCATCTTTCTCTGAAGTTTCTCTCTCCTGTGCAGTACTACACTAATGCACACAGATGGCTTAAAGCCAGATAGAGCAAACACAGCTTTATTTGCATAAGGCTGAGCGAAAACACTGTGGTGTGCACGATACCACGGTGGTTTGGTGGATGTGAGAAAAAGCCCTTAAGAGCTAGCTATCAACAAAGCATGTTAACAACCATTCATCATCTCCATTACAGAGAAAAATATATACATATGACTAATTTGAACAATACTATTAGAATATTCTATCATTGTTTGTGAAAACAGAAATATTCTTAGAATTTTAAAATTAAAAGGATAATGTTAAAAAAAAAAAAAAAGAGAGTGGTGGAAGGTTTTGTGACAGTCATTTTCTACTCTATATTTACACATCAGCCATAGCGTCTATGTAGAGCAATTGTTCACAGTAAACAGGATGCCAAACATAGTTGGGAAATTTTTTAACTCTAACTTTAAGTTCATAAGAATTAATCTAAAATACAGTTTCTTGTAACCGGAAAGTGCTATCTTGACTGAAGTGCTAGGTTTATCTGAAACAAGATAAGATTTCTACTGCAAAAGAACTTTAAGTACAGCAACAATAAGTGTACTAAACCACCTAATTTTCATGCCTATATCATATGCTGTAATTGCTTATACCAGAAAAACTACGAGACCTATGAACATCTAGAAATCAGACCATAAACCACTTTAATCTTTTCCTATGAGTGAAAATTGCACTTTTCTGATCACTACAGTAGTACTCTTCCAAAACAAAAATATTTCCAGGAACTAGGACTCCAGATGATCCATACGATTTAGACACATTCACATTTAAAAGGGGAAAGTTCATGTCACTTTCTAAACTAGTTTTTTTATGGAATGTTAAGTACCTAGGCTCTAAGTCTGACAACTTTCAAAAGTATACATTAATGTGCTGAGAAACAGCTGAGAAGCTCAAAACAAACTGAGGTACAGTAACTGCAAAGCTGTTTATTTACATTATTTTTATTACAATGATGTTTTCACACTTACCATATATACTTGCATATGTTACATAAAGTAAGTTTTTCTTCCCAAGTCAGGTTTGAAGTACTTAGGAAGTTTCAAAAAGTTCTAAGTGAAAACGTCAAAATATTTCCATCAATTATTTTTTTTTTCAAGAAAAAAAAGAAAGCCTTGAAATAAAAAAGCTTTAGAACAGTCTCCACTAATAGAAGTTAAACACATTAAGCAACAGAATATGCAAGCAAGCAAAAGATGGGAAAAGAAAATTCTTGTTGTGAAGGGGACATCAATCTAAAACTCAAAATTAAAAACAGTAATTAGTATGCTGATATAGCTAATTGACTTGGGGCACTGCATAAGATGTACCCAGCTGTCCCCTGTAGTTATGATATTTTATTTATGGTTTTACTAGGGCTTGCATCATGCCAGTGAATCAAAACTTATCAATCTCAATTCATGTTTAGTAGCAATTTTGCTGAGGGAATATTATTTCAACACTTGAAAACTAAAATTCATGTGAGTATGAGGGCTAAGGACCCATAACTGGAAACAGCACAAAGAAACAGATTAAATGATCAAAGCAACTTAACTCCTTCACTCCCACTACCTTTTTCAAATGGAGGTGTACTCTACAAGTTCAAATACAAGTTTCTTCTCACTACAAACATTTGAGGAAATGGAATGAAAGGCTGTGCTTAGGTCAGCTGCTATGTTCTGTCAATCAGCTTCCTCCAGTCTTCAGTTTGTATATACCTTACACCACACAGTAAGCAGAGGAATCAAAATTAATTTCTATTTTAAACTGTTCAAACTATTGCTACCATCTATGAAACACTACTTGTTTCTATAATCCAAGACTTGGAAATCCCAATTTACTACACGTATGCAACAGTCTGTGTTTTTTCTTTCACCTTTGAGAAAGCAACCATCTATTTGGCTAAAAGCAGAGCAAGAATTAAAATAATCTTCAACAAGTTTATTTACATTGTAGTGATTTTTACAATCTGTTCAAGACTTAGAGAAGTCAGAGGTTAATTTCTATAACCTGCATAAGATGAAGAAGACGTCCACCTGCTGCTGTCTCCCCATCATCTTCACAATCCTGTAAGAACGTCTGCTTATCTTCACAGTATATTCTTAAAAAAACAAACAAACAAACAAAAAAAAACAACAAAGGGAGAGGGGGGGAAAAAAGAAAAAAATTAACATAAAATAGATTCAAAAAATGTCAATCAATTAACATTTTGCCATGACTAATGAAGTCTCAGGTATCTTTCATACACTTGTGTATCAATTCTACTTCTCTACTAAGGACATCTACAGGAAAACAGGATGAGGTAAGCCACAAATATTTATCTGTACAGTAGAACAACTTTTGAGAAGCTTTTACATAGACTTTACATACTTCAGGTTGACTCTAGACTCATTACCAGTGTAAAGTCCCTAAATCCTTAGGTTTTTAGCCTAAAAATTACACCTGGCCGAAACCAACTTTATTAGATACAGATTCAAATTATGGTACACATCCACAAGTTGGAAGAACTCAGACAAAAATCTTATGAATAATTAGTTAGGTCTATATCCCAACAGCAGTGAGAAACTATTACTGAAATTTGCCTTCAGATTCTCCATGCCATCAACTTCCTCAGGGGGCACTCCAGGAAACTTTGGGTGTACTGCTTCATACAAAGGACAGCTGCCCAGGTCCAATTTTCCAGAAGTAAAGCTCAGAGGTCTACTGTTTGTTACCAATTGATTTCATAACTTCTGAACTCAGTTAATGCACACATGACACGTGACAAAGAGGATTCTGGTACTGGATGACAAATATGAAGCACTAAGTATGTTTCTGTTGCTTTTTTTGAAGCGTATTTAGCTGGTATGAGTGAAAGAAGCCTGATCACCACTGGCAACAACAGAAATGCCCTCTTTACAGAAACCTTTTACTTAGGCAGACTTTTTGGTAAAGTAAGCTTTCATTTGCTCTCATTTCACATTTCACTAGGATCTCGCCAGGAAGTGCAGGAATGGACGAGTGTCTGTACATGCTTTTTCAGATGATTGGTTCAGCCAGTAATGAAAAGGGCTCCTTTTACAGCCACTTACATTCCTCAAAAAACCTCCATCACCATCTGGACTGAGACCAATTCATTTCACGTAAGCTATGTTAACAATATGTTGCCAAAGACAGACCACTGTCAAACTCATTTTTACCTGTTTCTCATTTTCCCTGAAGTGTCTTGTATTTCAGCTGAAACTTCATATGTCAGATATCTGCATCAGGCTTTCTGTTTCAACTCTTATTTCAACTACAAATGTTCAGTTATTTCTAAATATAAGGTTGGGAGTAAAAAAAGTTACTTTGCCCAAGTAAAAAGTTACTTTGCCCAAGTTTAGTTCAAAATGAGGTAGCATTTCCATACTCACAAATACTATACAAAGTATAACAACACATGTTCAAATCCACTTCTACTCTTTTTTTAGTCCTAATGCTGCTTTACTATTTTAACGTATTTCCTCCTATATGTTCTACTTTCTTGACCTCAAATTCAAAATAAAGCCTAAAATCTTTACCATACAAATAAGAACTCTACTGTCTTAAAGACATAATAGCAAGGATTTTCTTTGATGATTTTACTTTTCTCATGTCCTGCACATATGTTGAGGAACACTGGGGAAAAAAAAAAAAATATCACTGCTTATCTCTCACCTGTATGCATATATGTTGTGGGTAGCACTTGCAATTTTCTTATTCTCATACAATTTTTCAAGAACTCTCTTTACCTTTAAAAAAAGAGAAATAAGCTTCTTTTTATAATGGAGATTTCATACTCACCATCTTAGTACTACTACTAAACAACTTCTTAATACTATAATGAAAGTTTTACACTTTGACATAAAATGAATTAAATATTCATTGTGATAACTCAAGAAGCACCTTCTCGGTACCCTCATGCTAGTTTCAAGTAATTTTTCTGAGGTACTGAAAAAAGCTGTTCCTTGAATTGTATATTGTGTACATTCATGGTATTCCTGAAGATGTAGAAGTGTCAAACTGCTTTACTAAACAAGAGAGACGGTAAGATCTAGAAAACATTTTTTATTGGTATTAACTATCAATTACACCTGCTTACTTTTTTCAACTACAACATTAAGCTGGTCTAACACACCTTTACAGACATTTTCCCATTACACACTGCTTTTACCCATTTCACAAAAACGTGAAGTTTAGAAAGCTCTACTACATTTCATTTTCAGTTTTTCCTTTTTCCTCAAACATACTTTTTTTAGTTTCCATTTCACAGAAAGAATAATTTTAAAAAAGAAGAAAAAGTTCTATTATGGGTCTGAAATATCTGTTCTCCCAGAAAACAGATATTCCCACCATGTCCATCTCTCTGCTCTTAAGAAGTACCAAATTAAAAACATTTATCAATATCAGTCCATCTTCCGTTTCTAATTAAACAAGCTAGCAATTGTTCAACCCTTTCCAATTTGGTCTAGCAAAAAGGAGAGTTTGATCAAGACACTGTTTTAGTACATAATATAAAATTAATAGTACTTTGAACAAAACATTACTGAAGTTGAGAAAGCTTGGGAAAACACTCTTGGCTAGTAAATTGCTTTCCATGCCAAAGAAAATGTCTCTGAGGAGTAATCAATATACATATTTAATATCAGTCTTGGCTATACTGTGCTCTTTCTAATTCTTCTGGAAGAAATTAAACTTATAAAAATCACCTCAATTACAAGATACCTCAATGAAAAAAACCTCCTATTATTAACAAAGAACATTACTTCAGAGACCTGTTTTCTCCATTTTTTCCCCTAAAGGGGAATACTGAAGAAAGACAACTCACATTACTTAATACATTTCAAATCATGGGCTTAGGGTACAAAGCACATGAAATGATCCATCACCTTTGATATTAGTTATTTGTCAGTTACCAGGCTCCTAAAAACATGCTGTAAATATTTATTAGGTGTCTGTATTAGTAATGAACCTCCAAGACAGACATCTCAGAGCTAAGCAAAAGTTTATCCTTTTCCCTGTTGTAGCTTCCCAGCGTTTTTGGGTTTTGTTGTTGTTGTTATTTTTTCTTCCTGTTCACGTCTCTATTATTTCTGCTTTATGGAACTAAGGGATGTAACTCTCTACATGTCAGTGAGGGATCTGCTCATAAAAGACACAAGATGCTTAAACAACAGATCAGATTAGTCCCATCTTACTAAATCATTATCAAGACCAAGAACCAGATACATTTTAAATGTCAGAATAAGACAAACCAAGAAAAGGGAAAGCAAATGGTACCAAACACAGCCTGCTACTTGAAATATACTGATTCTGCTATGTAAGGAACTACATTATTATTCTGACTATCATTACTGAAAACTACACAAGTTAATTTCTACTATTAAAAATACTCGATAAAGGAATGTACATGGTAACCTGTGTACTGTCTTAAAATATTGATTAATATCGTTGCAGCATAAAGATTATGCAGATAAAGTATTATGGGCACACAGTAATCTCTTCAGATGGTAAAGAAGCCAGCTCTCACTACGGGTGCACTGCTTACTCCATTCCTCAGCTCTTTTGGCTTGCTTTCAGAAAAATGAGTCCATACCACAGCAAAGCTTTCCTGCAGTCTGAAGACCAATCACTTGACACTGTACAGCAATAGTCTGTGAAACAAGATGGATTTGATACTTGGGGAATTGCTTTATCTTTATACTAACTATATACAAATAAGTCTTGACTGGCAGTTCCTAGGTTTGTTGAGTATATTTTGTCTTTTAAAAAAAGCAATAAAAGAAGAAATTAAGAACATCTCTGCATGTAAAAGGGATATTATTAACCTGCTTTAAGTGAGTATCATTTCTTGATACAGACCTCCTTTTGGAAACCCATGTCTGCAGGTACAGAACTCCTCGTAAGTAGGAACAATCTTACTCATAGATCATGATAAAAGAGTGAGAGGTTTTTTTAAATGAGAAAAGGACATTGAGCCATTGAGCCAATTATTCCAATTTCTTCCCTTTCTAAAGCAGCACAGTTCAAAGAGACTCACAGTTCATAGGGACTAAGCACAGCTAAGAAAACCCCTGAAGTGCAGTGCAAGTTTAATGAAAATGGTAATGTACTGAGTATTTTAAAACACTGAGTTATTCCACATTAACCTAATGAATAAAATTACTTTAACTTTGCAAGCAGTAAAAGAATAGCTCAAAAAAGATGAAAGTGTATTCAGAAAAGCTCAAGTTGTATCCAGACAGAGAAAAATAAGATAGATGACAAGACAGATGTGAAAAGTGCAGTATATTTCTGAGGGAGTAAAAATAAAATTTAATTTTTTTTTTTTTTTCAAACACATGAGAAGCTGAAGCTTACCAGAGATCTGTACTGCCAGAAGATAAATATAATATATGCAATAAAAAAGAATCACTTGAAGAAGATATAGCTGTAGCACAAAAACCTAAATGAATGTACACTATTTATGAACTTAAAAGGTCAGGCAAGGATGATATAGTGGAGCCTTATCACAGAATAAGGTTGAGCAAGCTGTTAAAATGAATAGAAACAAATCATCAAAACCAGATCTCATATATATATACACATATAAAAGTTTAAAGAGAACTGGAGTATAAACTATAGCTAAAGTACCTAACCTAACACTTAAAACTGCTTCTGCAGCAGCAGGTGACTGATGCAACATCAACATCTCAAAAGTACTCCAGGAAGGGTGCAGGGAACTAAAGGCCAACAAGTCTTATGTTCATACTAGGCACACTAACAAGGGAGAAGCAAGATACAAAAAACCCACAGAGAGCTTAAAATGTTACAGCTTTAGTACAGGGAAAAAAGCCTCAAAATCCTGTCAATCTGTCAACATTCTTTCAGAGTCACTGAGCATGTAGCAGATCTAGATCATCTGGAATTTCAAAAAGCATTTGACAAGACCCTTACCAAAAATTTTTAAAATAAAAGCTAGAATTGGATAAAAGGAAAGAGGAAAATCCTCTCAAGATTTAATTCCCAGTTAATGACAAGAAAAGATGAGTAGATCAGTAGTTTTCCTACTAAACAGGGACCATCAAAGACGACTGATGTTAACAGATGCAAAGTGATGTACAAAGTGACTCCAAACTAGTTACTGGCATTTGCAGAAAGAGATCCTGGTGTTATAACAGATATGTCTACAAAAACCAGCCCTGTGCTCAGTACAGGACAAAAACATAAACAGAAAGGTATCGCTAGGAAAAGAACATGGAAAACAGAAAATCTCTTCACACTCATTATCAGTCCTTGGAGTGGTTGTATCTTCAGTTTGTGTATCATTCCAGTCAGCATCTCAAAAAGGTTACAGGATACATTACAGGTACCAAAATACACTGGGGGTCTTCAGCCCGGAAAAAAGAAAACTAAGGTCTATAAAATATGATAGACGGCTACAAAATCCAACTGCACGGAGAAAGCAGAGAGGTGCAACAAACAAAGCCAAGAGTGACTGATTCACAGCCAACACAGGAAGGTGTATTTTCATACAATGCTGTGGATTCTGAAAGTTAATTCTGGTGCAAGAAGCAACAGGACAAATTCCACATAGAATAAAAGGAAAAAAAAATCAGTAATATTAAACACATGGATAATTTCTTTACCTTGTGTTAAATTGCTGAAAGGGGGGAAGCATGATGGCAAACAAAATGTAGCTGCCCTTTTCTAGCACTCTGTCTAGGTCTACAGTCCTCAATGAATCCAGTAAGAGACAGGAAGTAGTGCAGACATTTTTCTAGTTGTAGGCAAATATAATTCTAGAAACATGTTACTCCTCTCACTTAGGTCTCCATGAAGATTTATTTATACATTATCCAAGTGTATTTTTCAATACAATTCCTTTCTGAAGGAGGGAAAACATTTATAAACTCATTTTAATTCATCTTCCAAGTAGCACATGGTAAGACTCAGTAGCTTCCAAATATCTTACAATAAATTTGCCAACACTCAAAAGCCAAATTTTGATGTTCTTATTCTCTTAGATATAATGCACATAATGATAAAAAAACAGCAGGAAGCACTGCAGAACTGATATTTAGAGCTATTTATCTGATAGTGTAAGAGAGAAACTGATGACTATTCAGACAATATTAGCACACAAAGATGCAGACAGACATTATTTGGCTAATCCCAAGTATTTCAGTAATATTTTGTCAAGCTCAAAGTACAGACAAAAAGAGTAGAATTGATCTCTACTAACTTGTCTGGGTGTCACCACAGGAGCCAGATGTGCCTGGAAAGTACTCCTTCGATCTGTGATTGGGTTTCCATGATGTATGGATGGCAGCTCTTCATCTACTGATCACAAACAAGGAAGTGTTTGTTTTCTTTTAAGGGTACTGAAACAATGTATATGGCTACATAAGTAAATAAAGTCTCAACTTTAAAAAAGGGATTTGTTAAAGTGAAGTACACAAGACGACATGCAGAACCACCAAAAATGTTGGGTTTTTTACGATTGTTATAAATCTTTATTAGAATTTTAACATTACTAATTTTACTCAAATGCTGAGTAGAAAACCAGAACCTTAAAGCCTCTCTCTCTTCTAAAGTATTACATCAGAATTAACAAGGGTGTATTTTTTACCTTCTTGACTTTCAGATGTAATGCAATTTAACGTTTTAATTGGATCTTCCTGAATGGGCTGATAGTCTAGGAGAAAATCATCTCCATCTTCTTCACTGGTTTTCTTAGTATCTGGTTCTATTAAGATACAAGTAGCAGAATTTATTATACTTTTTTTTTTTTTGAGAGAGAGAGAGAGAGAGACAAGTAAATTTCAGATTATTTTTCTCAAAAATCTGACTTTTCAACTTAAATCAGTTTGCCATTAAAAATTATGAAATGCAGAATAGTAACATTAATTACAACAAAACCTAGAAATTCTTAGTCCATTATTAACTAAAATCTTCCTTAGAATTAGGAATACAATACTCATAGTATAGGATCCTTCCACAGTATCTTCTGTTTCAATACTAATTAACAGTATTTCTAAAAAGAAAAGAACAATAATATTTACCATTTCCATTAAACATTTACAATGCTACCATTAATTTAATCTGAATTTAGAGACCAAAATAATCTGATGTTTCACAAGAACTTCGGTCATTTATTGGTCATTTGGGGAAAAAATGTAGAGCTGCTGTTCAATGCTCCTACAGGAGGTTACAAAATTATTATATTTGAAACATCTCCCTGGACATGTTTCAAGTACTCCAGGACTCCCAAAATCCTATTTTCCTTCACGCATAGGACATACAAAAAATAACAGTCAATAGCAAAAGAGTAAATATCACACACAGATAGTGCTCTAACAACTGGATTTAGAGGGAATCTACCTTACAGACAAGTTAATATATCAGAATCTAATTTCCTATTTAGGGGGCCTATGACATGGTGATGATGCAGTTTTTATAACACAGGTATTTTCCATAAAAAAGAGGAGAGGTAATATAGCATATTCAGAAGGCCTAGAAAAAACATAAGATATATTAAGTAGAAGCCACGAGGTTGCTGTCAAAATATCCAATAAACTTCCAATGTTGTCAGTAAAATTTTCACTTCTCAGTATCCACTCCTTTAGTCACTTTAATGAAAAATGACTTTTTAAATGTCTATGTTACAGCAACAAAATGCACAGTCTATTGAAAGACTAAAACTAGATCTTATCATGAAGGAGCACTGAAAATACAAATTTTTTTCCCCCCTCTTCAGTCATTTATTCCTCATAGGACTAAGCTAACATCCATGGCTTAGAAAAATACTATTTCTTTTTGCCACAAGTGCATGCATGCAAGTTACTCATGCACTTCACAGCAGTTTAGCATTTTAATGCACAAAAAAGCCACAAAAAACCCACCACTTTTTGAAAGTGATTCAATTCCCGAGAGAACTGAGGACCTTGTTCTAGTTCACTGAGGTCACCCCACTCCCTTTTAAAAAGGGGAGCTATCACTGTAAAACAACAAGCCATAACACTGCAGACTGTTGTTCTCTGTTACTTAGTTCCAATACGAAATTGGGCATAAAGCTTTAACTTGTAATGAAATCTTACAGTTTCAGTTGAACAAGAAGTAATCTGAAAAACCCGTGTGTTTTTGAAGTACCTGGATCTGATGACTGTGCCTTTTCTATCAGAACTTCTCGTATCTTCTCCACCCATAAATAAAGTATACTTTCACCAAGGTTCTGCCTGGAAGTTAAAACTCAGAGTGAACGAAGAACCATTTCAGCAGATTTCACTTGGAGAGTACACCATATATACACACAGATATCAGACGTGCAGAAATAGAACATTATACTCTAGTGAGATAAAGAGCTTAAACAGGGTTGTGGAAAGTTCTGTCTCAGTAGCTCACTGGCTGAAACACATGATACTTGCATCGTTACATACTCTCTTTGTGGCTTGTGCTTTCCCTCCCAAACATTAAAAGCACCAATGTTGGAGGAACACAGACAACTGACAGAAACTTTCTGGCCACTAAGGAAAGGGAAAGCAACTGTGAGAAGCGTTAAGTTGGACAATCCACAGTATTTTCAAAAGAATACTAAGCTAGGACGTCTAGCCTTACAGCTTGCTCTGGGTGAGTTTTCTCTACAAAAAGTACTGCACTGCCAGTGGTGAGCTCC